CTCTGGACCATGCGTGTCTCCGGTTTGTCTCCTTTGGGATCATGTTGCTCTTGCTTCTTGATTTCCATCTTTCCGTTTCCCTGGCGACCTCTAGCACGGCCTCTCCTCCTCCCTCTCCTTCTCCCTTTCCTCCTCCCTCTCCTCCACCCTCTCCTCCTCCCTCTCCTCCCCCCTCTCCATTCCTAACTCGGTTAAGCTGTGTTAGGTCCAGACTTCCATCACTTCCTGGGTGTTTTATGCACTCGCATCGAGTTTCTTTATCAAATGAAGCCTTTTACTAAAGGCCTGACGGGAGGGCTCCATGACAGCCTTTATTGTTTTGTACAATACAGTCTGTGAACACCGAGAGATGAAGGAAAACCAGGAGAAAATCGGATCATGTGACTCTCGGCTGCTGTTGCCATGGTAACCAATCTTCCATTCCCAGGATTCCCAATCGTGTCTATTCTCTCTCCTGCCATCTCCTCTCAGTTCTGCTGCGCCCTCCTCCATCTCCTCACTCCCTTCTCTTCCTCCATCCCTCTATCTCCTCCCACCTCCTCCCTCATTCCTCCTCCTTCTCTTCCATCTCCTCCCTCCATCTCCTCCTCCATCCCTCCATCTCCTCCTCCCTCCAACCTCCTCCCTCATTCCTCCTCCTTCTCTTCCCTCCATCTTCTCTATCTCCCCCTCCCTCATTCCTCCTCCTTCTCTTTCATCTCCTCCCTCCATCTCCTCCTCCATCCCTCCATCTCCCCCTCCCTCATCCCTCCTCCTCCATCCCTCCATCTCCCCCTCCCTCATCCCTCCTCCTCCATCCCTCCATCCCTCCATTTGCCCTTCCCTCATTCGTCCTCCTTCTCTTCCATCTCCTCCCTTCATCTCACCCTCCCTTATCCCTCCTCCTCTTCCATCTCCTCCCTCTCCTCTTCCTCCATCCCTCCATCTCCTCCTCGTCCTACTTCAGGCCTAACTCCCCCCCCCCCCATCTGGATGCATATATGCATCTCTCATCCATTGGTTTTGGTCCCATCAACTCTCAGGGGCTCAGACTCGGTGGCTGTGTGCTAGCAGCCCTCAGAGGGAGCAGCCCGATACAGTTTGGGTCATTTCCAGGCTCC